ACTGTTGCTCACAAAACCAAGCCACAAAAATATACAAATGCCAATTATCCATGTTGTAACTGAGGAGGAAAGTTCTCCTGGATGGGGTTTGTGTGGCAAGGTTCTGGTAGTGAGGGGTTGTAGGGGCGCATTCTCTGAGGAGCTGCTGGAAGCTTCAACAATGCCAACTCCAGGGGATCCAGGATGTACCTGCTACTGACCAAGGCAGAAATCGTGGTGATGCCTCTGGGATAACTGATTTGAGAAGGAAAATTGTTATTACACAGTTATAATTGTGGCCAGAGAAGAGTGGAGTGAGACCATGGGAGAGGAGCAGCTCTGCAGACACCCAGGGCAGGGCAGGAAGAGGGGCAGGAGGTGCTCCAGGTGCTGGAGCTGAGATTCCATGGGGAAGCCCATGGAGAGGCAGCCCCTCTGCATGCCCCTGCAGCCCATGGAAGCTGCAGAGATTCACCTGCAGCTTCTGCAGAAGCCCACACCAGAGCACAGGGATGCTGAGGGAGGTGGGAAGCCAATGCTGGAGCAGGGACTTGTGGATCCATGGAGAGACAAGCCCACACAGGAGCAGGTTTGTTGATAGCACCCAGAACCTATCAGAGACCCACACTGGAGCAGCCTTTTCCTGAAGGACTGACCCCATGGAAGTGGATCCACATTTGGAGCGGTTCATGACGAGCTGCAGCCCATGGGATGGACTCACACTGGAGCAGCTCATGGAGAACTGTCTCCCATGGGATGAGACCCCATGTTGGAGCAGGGGAAGGACTCTGACTCCTCTCCCTGAGGAAGAAGCAGCAGCACAAACAGCACAAACCACACAAACAACACAAACAGCACAAACAACACAACACAAACAGCACAAACAACACAACACAAGCCCCTGTGAGGTTTGGACCCTCCGAGTGCTCTTAGGTACTTACACTGTTGGGTTATTTCATTTAAAAGTTAAGCAAGTTAATAGTTATTATAAAGTTATTTATAACATTTATTTGGCTTAACATACTTCAATCTATTTAAAGACTTTAATTTAATCTCTACATTCTAATCTCTCTCTGAAGAATTCAGAAAAACTTCCGACTTACTGACTCCAACAGCCCCCATTCCTGTCTCCCTGTGCCACTGGAGGGGAGGAGGGGGAGCCAAGGAAGGAGGGAGGGAGGGGTGGTGGGAAGATATTCTTAAGATTTGTTTTACTTCCCATTACCCTGCTCTGATTTTGGTGGTAATAAAATCAATGGATTTCCCCAAGTTTTTTTGACCATGGCAATATTTGGTGAGGGATCTCTCCCTTTCCTTATATTTTTCTTCCCTGTTCCACTGAAGAGGGCAGGGATAGAGCAAGGTCAAGCTACCACATCTCATTGAAAAGAAACAACCCAACAATAACAAAAAGCCCCCACAACAATAAAATCTTTTTCCTTTGAATGCTTTTCAAATTTAAAAAAACCTCAATCAAATACAGGAAATAAAATCCAAAAGCTGACTCTAAGTAGGTTTGACTCTAATAGCTGGTTTCATGTTGGATGGAAAGGGATCAGGTTGGATAAGTTACCAGCTAAAATATGTTAATGGGATTTAAATGGCATTGTACCTTCCTGGGGAATCAATTTTGAGATTTTAGACAAACTGCAACAAGGCATCTGGTGACATCATCAGTTTTCTGTAGGCACTAATGGAACTGTTCACAAAAAAGCAGAGCTGGATGACAAGCAGCAGGTGAATGAGCTTTGGAAGTAGTGGTTTTGTAACTGTGAAAATATTTTTCTTTCCTAAAAACACACTGTTGCTTCCTGATAAAAACTAGTTTAAAAGCAAAATTTCTCCATGAAATGGTACTGCCTGCTTGGACCAAGGATCCATGTCCTCAGAAGGGCTTGGCATGGTACCAGCCCTAGGAACTCTGAGTGAGTCCTGACTGTCTTGGGTTGCAATGCAGGATGTGACTGGAGGAATGTGTTCTATCACCATCCGTTGAAACCAGCTGGGGCAGTGATCCTTATCTCTGTGGGAGATATTCTCTGCCAATGGGCCATCTGTTAAAACCAGGAGGGGCAGTGTTCTTTATCTTTTCCACAACCCATCTTTCCTCCAGGAAGGTATCATCTGCTAATGGGCCATTGAGTCCCATTGCCTGACTGATAAAATTCCATCATCCCATTGGGAGACGCTCCAGCCAGAGGGAGGAGCCAAGCCTTTCCTACCTAGAGAAAAACTGAGATTTGGAACACCAAGGCAGCCTTTTTCCACTGGATCCCAGAGGAAAACCGAACCTTTCCATATCATCACGGGACATTCAGAGGAAAACTGCACCCTTCTACAGGAGCACTGCTTCAACTGAACCACATCTATCACTCCAGGAGATCTGCAGCCACCATTTATAGGGACTGCTACCAACACCCTGACTAACAGGGTGTCAGGTTGTATTCTGACCCTGTCAGTGTTTTTGGGTTTGTTCTTTGTAATACTGTATTTCTATTTTAATTTTCCTAGTAAAGAACTGTTATTCCTATTCTCATATCTTTGCCTGAGAGCCCTTTAATTTCAAAATTATGATAATTTGGAGGGAGGGGGTTTACATTCTCCATTTTAAAAAGAGGCTCCTGCCTTTCTTGGCAGACACCTGTCTTTCAAAACCAAGACATGACCCTTCTCCAGGAGAAGCCTGTCAAATAGCAGGGAGTACATCCAGAAGAGCTGCAAATCAAGGAAATTGTGAAAAGACACAAGGAAGCCTGGCAAATCAGTCACACCTACTGTTTCCTGGCATGGAAAAGGCTTGGAGATTTAATGCCTCGGTTGAGCTGCCTTGTTTCATCCATTTGTTTGTAAAATAAAAGCCAAAGAGCTTATCCAGCCTTTTTTTGTAATCCTGGCAAGCCTAACTCTTAACCCTTTCCAGCTGCTAGCATCAGAAGCTTTGGTCAACTGAGTTCTATTGCTGGACAATCTCAAGAAGCAAGCTGCCCCACCACTGACAGAAAATATGAACTGCAGAAAGCAGCTACAGGCAGGTAAGGAACAGTGACAAAAACCCCAAACCAGGCAGAGGAACATGCTCAAGCTACAGAGTGTGTTCACATTTGACCCTAAAAACGATGCACACACACCTGCAGCTGCAAAATTTCAGCAAAAAAAAATCTGGTATGAAATCATAGAGTCATGGGATCAACAAGGCTGGAAAAGATTGCCAAAATTATCAAATATGCTCTGTGACTGATCCTCATGCCAGAGCACTGTGTGCCAAGTCCTGGCCTTCCTTGGGCATCTCCAGCGATGGGGACTCCACAGCTCTCTGGACAGCCCTGCCAATGGGATTGAGGGAGGAGAGGAGAAAATGAGATAGCAGGGGAGGATTTCTTACAGTAGATTTTGTTGTTACGGCGAGTAACAAGAACTTCAAGAGGTGTTCAACAGCAACAGTCCAGGGACAACTCTAAAGGAGCCCTCCACAGTTTATTTTGGCTGGTTTTTCCAGAGCTGAGCTTCAAACACCATATCTCAGCTCACATGCAACTATTTTCTGCTAAGCACTGTGCCATGATTAACAGGATTTCTTTTCAAAACCCCAACTATCACCTTCAGAATGTTAGAATTAATCTGCTGGCCACTTAATCCCAGGGCAAAGCGAATGAATCTCTCTCTAGATGAAAGGAAGAGGAAAGAGCTTTTCAGTCCCCCCCTTTCTTTTTTTCTTTTTTTTTTTTTTTTTTTTTTTTTTTTTTTTTTTTTTTTTTTTTTTTTTTTTAACACCCCAGAGAGTATTTCAGGAGCGTAACACAGCCTGAACCAACTTGCAAGTCTTTAATTTACATCTTCAGATTTCCCAGCTGGAAGATTGAGATCAAAACCACTGAACTCACAGCTGTGAGAGCAGTTCACGAAGAACAAACCCACAAGTTTAAAGATGAATTACCACAAAAAGTGTAACCAGATTTTTCATGGAAAAGGTGGAGACTCTGTTACAATTCCTCCATGTTGTTACTAAATTGTATAAAGGCTTCCTTGATATTTTTGGGTGTGTGTGGAAATTCAGAGTAAATCCTGAGCAGGAAGGCAAAGCTTGTTAGGTGAAGAAGCTAAAAAGAGTAGGCGATAGAAGAAATGAACAAAATTTTCTTCTACGACAATGAGCACAGGCCCAAACCTCAGAATTTTCACTCTGTAGCAATGTAGCAATGTCTCTCTTTCAATCTCAAATCCTTCTAGAATAGCCCAGATAATGCATTCTTGTTATTTATTAATTATTAGAGATATTATTTTAGATCTGCCGTGATACATAAGGTCAGATGTACAGAGATTTGTCCCCCACCTGTGCTATTATTCCAAGGAAGAGCTGCTGCATTCCCAGGTACCCTGCACAATCCAGCTACAAAGTTTCAGGAAAAATTATTCCATTGCCTCTGCTTGATCAATAAACATATATCCTTAAATAGTCCACCATTTTAGGAAATGTTTTTTTAATAGGAAAATTGATTTTTTTTTTAATTTCATAGGAAAATTGAATTTTTTAAAAAAATTAACAGAAAAATTGAAAAAAATCACTTTTTTGTTATATTAAACACAAGTGTGAGCAGCTGTTGGTGGGGTTGGATGTGGGGTCATGGATTGGTGCAAAGATGAGAGATAGCTCCTGATAAAAAATTGCCTTTTTTGAAAGAGAAGTGGGATTTTTTCAAGACTTTTCTGGAGAGCTGGACAGTCAGTTGTGGAAAAGAGCTGGATGAAGTACAAATTGCTAATTCACTTTCCACACCTGGGAGAAGGGACGAAGAGGAGCGGGTATCGAATAGAGAAGAAACAGAAGATGAACGTGTGTGAACACACAAGCCCTTGGCTGTTAATAACACAAAGCAGCAGCAAAATCCCTTTGTCCACGACCAAAGGCAGTGACACACAGGCTTCACCCTCACCACCCAAAGGAAAACGGTCCCAGCTTTCCCACAGGTTTGGTGGAGATCCATGCGGAGCCGGCAGTCAGAGCGCACGTGGAGGACACTCACCCCGTCAGGTCGGCCGTCCGAGGCCGTGACGATGAGGATGTAGCGGTCGGTGCTCTCTCTGTCCAGCGGCTTTCCCAAGGCCAGCAGGCCAGAGCTGGGGACAGAACAAAACCAGGAGGTGTCAGCAGGGCAGCTGGGAGAGGTCTGTGAGCACCCTGCTGACACCACGGCTCCTCTTTGTAGGAGCTTTTAGGCTTCCTGTGGGTGAAGGCCAAGGAAAACCAAAAGCCAACTCCTAACGCTCTCCACTTGGATACAGGAATAAACATGGATTAAAACATCAACCTAGTAAGATTACAAAAGCTAGAGCTCCACTGAACACAGCACCCTGGTTTGCTCCTGCTGCACTTTAGCTATTTATTTAATTATCAAAACATATTTATTTAGTATTTTTACCATTAATGCTTCAATAAATGAGAAGAGAGAAGGACAAGAAGGGGATTAATCACTGAGGAGTCCTGATAAACAGCAGGACTGAGCAGGAAACTCTGGAAATACAACACACACAGACTCACACAGGGTGAGTCTCCTCAGGGAGAGGCTACTGGGGGAAGTTACACATTGAGTAACTTTGGAGTAAGGCCTGTGAGTATCCCCTAATAATTAAATATTACTGCACGCACAAGGGTGGGGGAAAACAAATCCCAGAGTGTTTTGGGTTGGAAGGGACCTTAAGGCTCATCCAGTCCCACCCCCTGCCATGGGCAGGGACACCTTCCACTATCCCAGGTTGCTCCAAGGCCCTGTCCAGCCTGGCCTTGGACACTTCCAGAGATTTCAGATCTTGTGATTATTGAAGCCTGTTTTAAAAGGACAACAAAAGAAGGATTAATTGAAAGCCACATTAAACAATGTCTGAAAGCACTGCAAATTCCTGTAACTGCTGACAAATGAAACAATTTGTTATATAGAAATATCTATTTTTCAGCAGTTGTTCAAAACACTGCAAGAAAATATAAACAAAAAAAAATTAGGGGGAAGAAAGAGTAAATAAAACATGAAAGACTTAAGTGGTAAATTATTAATTAAAAAATATATATTAAGGTGGAGCTGAGAATAGAATATTGACATCAAACACTGCATGAATCCATGTGCACTTCTCCAATATTCTACCGTATCTCCTTTTTTATCTCCTTCCTACCCCTGAAAAATTACACTTGACTGCCTGTTTCAATAGATGAACATCATTCAAAAGATAGGTTAAATTATAAATGTCCTAAATTATAAAAATCCTAAATTATCTATCCTAAGTTATCAACACCCTGTGTTTTCCCCCAGGACTCCTAGTCCTTTAACACTCCAGCTTTCCAGCCTCACTCCTTCCAGGAAACATAAGGAGGTAGGGAATTACCAGAGGTGGTGCTCAGGTTCCAGAGCCAGAGAGGGGAGAACAAAACCATCTCCCAACCCTCGGATTGAGGAGGAAAAAGATGGAGTAGGGAGATGTAGAATTCGGAGTATCCAGTCGTCATTCTGCCCAGCAGGAATTACACTGGAGTTAACTGCATGCTCCAGGAAGGAAAACAAGAATCCAGAAAAAGGGAGAGAGAATCCTGGTCATGGGTTCTGCATTGGCCTTCCAGCATCCAAAATTGAGATAAATTCCTGTAGCCTTACACCACCCACATTAAAGATGTTTTATTTAATAGTAATCCTCCTTTAATCGATCAACATATTTCAGTATCCAGAAAAAAGAAGGCAAAAGGCTGAAGGAAACTTGGCACAAAGCCTTTTCCAAAGGAACAGGAAGGGGAAAACACTTCAAATAACTCTTCTTTTTACCATGAGGTGCTAGAGCAGAGCCGAGCACTGAACCCCATGCTCAGATTTGTGGGGGCTGCGAGGCAGGGAGAGTCAGGCCTCCCAAGGGTCCCAGAGGAGGGGGATGAAGGGATGGAGCAGGAATTCCAGTTGGGAATTCTTTCACACATTATCTTTAACTGCTTGGTTTCTGGGTATGGCCACCCTGCTAACATCCCAAGTTGGACAACACATGGATCCACATTCCAGAGGATCTTCATGCCAGGAGCTGGCCTGGATTTCCACAGATGTTTTAAACCTCTCTGATGTGAAGAACTGCCAGGAATTTTATGGTGTGGTGTGAGGGGTGCTGTGATCACTGAGTGATCCCTTTGGAGTATCTCTCATGTAACCAGGTGGGATTATTCATGTTGAAATCAAAGAATGGTGCTTTACTAAAATGGCAAGCCTTCTTTGGAGCATCTCTCATGTAGCCAGTTTGGATTATTCACCTTCTAAATCAACAAATCCTTCTTTACTACCATTGCAACCCCTCTGTGGAGTGTCCCTCATGTCACTCTTGTAGATTATCCAAGTTCTAAAGGTGCCAGAGGAGGTCAGGCTGAGTTTCTCCATGTAAAGGAAAGGGTTGCTAGCATCACTTGGGCAGGAGTCCCTACAAAATTCCAATCCCAAGCCATGGCTAACACCAGTATCCCAACACCAATCCCTGCTCTGGCCACCCTAGTGAAGGAAAGTATCCCCTCTCCAAGGTGTCCCTTGCCCCTCACCTGCCAAGTGTTTATCAATCCTAGTGGATGAGAGCACCAGCACCTCCTGGCATTTTCAAGGCTTTATTCCCATTGTTTCCTGAAGGATTTGATTCTCTACAAATGGGAGAGTTATCATCCACAGCTCACTCAGAACATATAAACCTGTCTCAGGAGGTTTGGGTATTTAGGTTCACAATCTTTCCCTCACACCAAATTAGAATTATTTTGCACCAGGAAATAATAAGCCCCAGGTTACTTCTGTCCCATGATTTATTGCGGGAATTCAGCTCACCACCCTCCCTTCCTCCTGCAAGGAAAAGAATACCTTGGATTGCAAATAATAATTAATAACAGGTAAAGTAATAGCTAATATTAGGTAAAATAAAGGGTGGTGGGCCACACACAGACCAATCTGGTGCTTATGTTTCACAACAAACCCTCTATCTCTCTCTCTCTAAAGTTAGATTCAATTTAAAGAAAATACAGTTCTTTAACAATGCTCAAAGGACTTTTCACTACAGGCTAAACCATAACAAGCCAGGAAATTAAAGCAAAAATTGCCCCTGTCATTAGTCAGGAGCTGACAGGTAAAAGAGTTTTAATTAATCCCTGGCCACTCTTTTAAACAGAATCTTTCCACCTCAGTGAGTTTCCCTTACCTAAAGTGTTTAAAATAAATAAACAGTGGCCAGTGACAAACCCCAGAGTGGAATTTGGCTCACAGAGCTCTCATTAATGGCTGACAGCCCCTCGAAGGAGCAGCTGAAGGTGTCTGAGCACAACCCTTTTCTCTCAGCTCCTCCATTCCCTGGACTGACAAGTTCCAAGTCTGTTTTCCAAGGGTTTCCCACTTACCTTTGAGAGAGATTAAAAACTTGTTGAGGATCTCCATTCTGAATGAGGTATTTGATGGGGTCGCCCTCTCTATCAAAAGCCTTTAGGGAAGGAAAAAAAATGATAAAATTCAGTCAGTGGAAAGGTTTCTTCTCTTCCCTTCCATGTAGAAACTGGGGAATTAAGTTTTAGGAAAATTTCCCACAGGGATGACACCAATCCCTGTTTCTAAGGCAACTCTGGTTATTGATGGGCTACTCAAGATAAAGCTGGAATACATCAGAATTCCTGAAATTACAATATCCTGAATTCAGGAAAATAATTACTATTAATTATTAGTAATTATCTAATTGTCAAATTACAGCTATATTACAGCAGCATGAGTGTGTAATTCAGGCTTTAATCATTTACTTCTATTTTTCTGCAGCTTCACACTGATTAGACTCAACTTTTATTTTCCTTTCTTCCCATTCTTCATTTCTACTACTTATCAAGACCCCTCTTTCTGTTATTTTATTAGAATCCCAATCTTTGGCTGATGCTCTAGTGAGTTCCAACTGTAGCATTCACCCTCTACAATAATTTGCTTTTTGGAGGGGTGAAGATCAGGGTAAGACCTTTAAGAACAGACATTAACAGCACCAAAATGAGGATATTCCACCTATTAGGTGGAAAAAAAAATCTTTCAAAAGTTGAATAAACTACTTTTGATATCTCTCCTGGTGCCACCTGAGGCCATTTCCTCTGGTCTAGAAGAGAAGAGGCCAACCCCCACTTTGCTCCTGTCAAGTTGTTGCTGTGGACCATAATCAAGGTCTGTGTAGCTTTGAGCTGACCACCTAAAAAAGCAGGTTTTGAGATAAAAATCCAAGAAAAATAACAAAAAACTCAAACACCCCCCAAACTTCTTGTGTAGAAGCACAAACCATTTAAATGTGCAAGCAGAGCAGGGAATGCAGTAAGAAAACAACTTGGCTTAGCCAAATAGAAGTCAGGGGGTAAGTCAGATGGAAGGGATCAGCACTAGGAAAGAGCAAGAAAAACTGGATGCGGACAGAAAAAGTCAAGACAAAATTGGAATGGAAAGAGGAGAGAACACAAGGAATAACAAAGAAATGTTTAAGTTGCAGAAGGAACCTGAGGAGTGGTTTGAAAACAGAAGCGATGATGTTGAGAAGGTCAGAGAGGCAAAACTGCCACTGTTCCAACTCCAAAATAAATTAACTGGGGCAAAACTTCAGCTGAGAGCTGGGGTCAGGGACAGAAGATGTTCATAAACAGAACATCTTTGAATCAGCTGCTGGAATTCAAGCCTGGTGAAGTCCATCCTGGTGTTTAGAATGGCTGGAATAATCTCAAAGCCACTGGGTTTGGTGGGGTTTTTTTGTGAGCACTCCCAGAGAACAAAAATGCTGGAGGGCAAACCCAAGGTCTGTCCTTCATGGAGGAATGAGCCAGGAAATCATGCACCAGGCAGGTGGAGTGCAATTCCCAGAAACCCACAAATATCCAAATTATTTGTAAGTTCCCTGCCAATATTCAGATGGATAACACAGAACTAAATTTCTCCAGAACATAAGGATGCTGAAGCCGTTTAATCTGATTTTCCAACAGGACAACAAGTCTCTTGAACAGCAGAAACTGGATCAATAAAGCAGCTGAGCCATGGTGAAGGCTTTTCCCACTGCTTGATGGGACATATTCCCAATGGAGTTCTGACAATACAGTCTCCAAATGGAGGGTGGGATTAAACAATAATTAAATCCATCATCAAAATTAAGGCCAGGCAGTAGTGGGTAGTGTTAGTACTGACTCACTTCTGCACGGGTGTGTACAGCTGTCCCAGCACTGATCAGTATTCCCATCCACAACATCAATGATAGACTGGGAAATTTGGGAAAAATGCTTATAAATTCCATGGGTGGCACTGAGTGTCAGGAGGTGTGGGTGGAATTTGGATTTCCTTGGCCTGAGGATATGAACAGTCAGGATCTGAGCCAAGAACACAAAATGTTCCAAACACTGGAGGCAGACAGTGTGAGAAGCTGGCATCTCTGAGGACTGTCCTTGATCCTAAATTACCAGAATCCTATGGTTGCTCCAGTCTTTAGCCCTTTTTGCTCCTTTTACCTTCCCTGCAGGGCATCCTGCCCTACCTTCACATTAAGTTGTCTCAGGGGTATCATTATGGTCTGCATTCTCTCATAAAAAGGCAGGGGGCTCTCAGAAGGCCAGAAAATCAAAGACTGGCTGTTGTTGATTTAGTTTTCTCCTTATTCCCACAGAAGATCCACTTTCAATCAACACGCTTAAAAAAAGGGGGAGGGAAAGTTAATCATTGCTTTTGAAAACTCCTGCTTTCTTTAAAAGCAAAGAACATGAAGTTCTTATGTACAGAAGAAAACCACCAAAGGCAAGGGAGAAGAGCAACCTATTCCTGTTTTTTTCCAGATCAATGGCATAGAGTGATTCCATAAATTGTACACAACAATTCCATGTAGCTCCTTGTTCAGCACATAACTGGACCCTGCTAACGGCCCTATTTGTTCTGCAGGCTCCCAGAAAAATGACAGCATTTGCATATTTTAATTAATAATGGCTGGCAGAACATGAAGCCATAAACGCCTCCCAGGCATGCAATAAACTCTGAGGTTTATTTACAAATTAATGCAGTGGAGATCATTTAATATTGCATTAATCTCAAACGTTGTTAATTAAAACACCAGTCAAGACCAACCGGGTGTGTTAGAAAATAAATAAGGGGATAAGAAAGAAATAAAGTCCTCCATCATCAGCATAAGAAATTTTAATGGACAAGAAAAAAGTGAATTATATTTTTCTAAATTCTAAAGGGCAAATTTAAAGCAGCTACATTTGCATTGTTACTGACCCTAATATTTTGCAGATCTTCAGATTTGGTAATCTGGGAATACTTGAAAAGTTTTGCGGGCTCTCTCCAGGATTTTGTAACCCTCCTGCTGTATGGAGAACTACCAAATTATTACTAAGAGAGAGCCACAAAAGAGTAATTTCTTAATCTGCACCAGCCCAAACACGTATTGAATGGATAAGACTCAGGGAAAGAAACACCAGTGTGAAAATTTAAATGTGAAAACACTTGTTCAATATTTAAGGCTTGGTGATATTCCATATCATCGATGGAACACAGGCAATACTTTAAGGCACTGCTAGAATCCCAAAAAACCCAAACCAAGGTGCCTAATTTGGAACTTTCTGTTGCCTGGAAAAGGCAGCACAGGATTTCAGAAGCTTAAATACTCAGTTTATGAATGTTCAAAATGTCCTGGTAGATTTTACATAACCAGGAATAAGTGAAGATGAAAATAGAAATATCCTGCACACAGAAGTCCTTTAGTACAGATGAAGGTTTTAATGAAGGACGAGGGAACGGGACTTGGAATTGGGTAGGGAGGGATCCATAAAGCCCATCCAGTGCCACGCATGCCATGGCAGGGACACCTTCC